ACATATAATATTTGGTAGTTCCAGATTATTTTTCCAGGCATAACACACATGGTTTACAAACGCAGACCAAGAGGTTTTCAGAGGAAATGCAAACAGTGACATTTTTATTACTGGCAAGAACCAGCTGCCCTGTTTTGAACAAATGCTATGAATTACACGTTGCTCTCTGGTAACAAGACATCAGTGATTCACAAAACAAGCTCATACCCATTTCCTTGCCTCCTGTCCAGTGTGGGAAGAGGTGGATGGAGAGCAGAGGTTCTTGGCCAACCACCAGGTATGCACTGCCCTGCTATCACCCTGGATAATTTCAGAAAACCCTTGAGATGACATCTATTTAACAAACCACTTCCACTCTGATTCTCTTCTTCTCTCCAGTTATTTGTTTGGTTTTGCTCAGCTCAAACTGATTAAAAAATTAGTGTCTATCACTGAATCACAGTGTAACTCCTTAGTGCATCAGAGGAACACTGGACACAAATATGTCAATGGATTATTCCTAATCACTGGAGAAAGCTAATGCCACAACAATGAGCTTCAAAAACTTTATTTTAAAAAGTTTCTAAGAGCCCTTATCAATAAAACTGAGCCCATTACAAACCTGATAAATTAATGCACTGGATAAAGACAGAAATAAAGCTAAATACTGCAGGATCAGTATTTAGCTTAAAAATTTACTGCTTAAAAATTATGCTGGGCATCAATGCATTTGCTTTTGTTTTCTCTCTACCTGGTGTAACTTTGATACATTTTTTGCTGCACGTTGCACTTTATTTCATTTACCATATAAGAGACAAGACAAATAGAACAATATTGAATGCAAAACTTCTCTCTGTCTCCTTGAAAATTAGAACAGTATAAAAACATAAAAGTTGATATTAAATACAAGGAGACAGTAAGAGCCTGCCCTGCCCGTATTTCAGACCAGAGGAGGAACTCTGGCTGCACATAATGCATCTTGATAATAAGCACATGTGAAAGAAGCTGTTAATTAGAGCAACAACTGGGTCACTTAGAATTTCATATCAAGAAAGCTAATCACACCATTTACCATTAGACCTCATTGGTATTCACAGGAACATTTATAAAGCCTCCCAACATGAGAGTTTAAAATTGCTCTCTGCCCACCTTGGAGAGCTCATCTGGACCAAAAGCCTTCTCTTCTACAGCACAACCCATGGAGCTCATTTTAAACAGTTAGACTGAATTAATCACACAAAATAATAAATGATGAGTTGAAGGTTGTAAGCTTTAAGTTAGCCTGTCCTTAGCTATGATAAGAAAGTCCCACCCCAGGTTCAAGTCAGACCAGCAAGGAAGGTTCAGTGGGAACAGCACACAGACTTCTGAGCTGGCACTGCCCTTATTTATAGCTTTATGTTCTCCAAATAATCTCTGCTTAGTGCTCATATCCCAATTTTCTTCACAGCCTTAAATAACCTGCACCACGTGTGTTTCAAAGCCTGTTTTTCAGACTGGAATACAAGCAGAAAAGCACTTTTAAATGATTCTGAGCAAGCTGTGAGCTCTGTGCCTTTACAGGTCATTTCTAATGCATCAGGATGCCAACCACACACAGGCACTCATGAGCAGCAAGGGGCAACAGGAGAGTCAGAGAGGAGGAGAGGCTGTGGCTGTCCAAAAAGAGATTTATAAACAGGACTGGATAACACAAAACACAATGGAGGGCAGTAAAGAGCATCATTATTTTCCTTAAAGGAAACGCTGATGAAGTGCAGCGTGTGCAGGGAGGTGGGGAGAGCAATACTGATGAGTCAATTTGCCTTTAAAAACAGACTTTTTTCTTTTTAGTATAACTTAAGTGACACCAGATTAGAAAGCAAAAGAACATTAAGAGACATGAAAATAATTATTATTCAAGGCAGGACATTGTAATGAAAATCACTGCCAAAAGAAAGGAAAACTTGAAAAATGGCATTGATGCTTTATTTTTAAAAATCAAATGGAAATGCACCAAAGTTAGGTTATGTTATTTTTCCAAATAGAATATAAAGACCACAACCAGCCTGGATAGAGATAAAATTCCCATAGTTTTTTTAAAATTTCTCATTTAAATCATTCAGGTAAAGACATTACTATTTACCTGGGGATTGTACCAGGCTGGCAGGGCAAATGAGTTACACACTTGTGGTTGTTGTGAAGTTTGAATATTGAGTAGGAAGGGGTTAAAATGCACAGCCTTCCTTAATTATTAGGGTTATCATTCATTATAAATAAAATGTATAATAGTCAGAGGCTCTAATATTAATTAGTTTCATTACTCTAAATGCTTTATTCCAGAATAGTGACATGCTGCTTTGCATTTAGAATTTACAAGGCAGTGAAACAGATAAGAGGTGAGAAATGTCTAAGGAAATTATTTTAGTCAGACTTGGATATTTCTTTCTATAGCCACACAATTGATGCCTTAAGTTTCGGCTTTCATATTTCCCAGATTCTGTATTGCTTTAGTGTGGGACTCTGAACTTCTCACACTGTTAGCAAGTTCTCCTCACAGCTCAGTCAGACAGAACAATCCTTTTCCTGGCCCAGAACCAAGGACACCACTTGAGGAGAGCAATCTGGGAGGATGGGACTGCATAACCTGAAGATGTAACTGGACAATGAACCCCAATATGGAAATGGAGCAAAACTTATAAAAGTGTGAAAACTCAGAGTCCATCTTGGGTGTAGCCCTGGCTGGGGACTTGCACTGCCCAAGATGTATCCTGTGAAGGCTTCAATAAATCCCTACTTTATTCCTTTAACTCTGTCTACCCTCTCTTCCAGGTAGCCTCTCAAGGCATCATAATCACTAATTACTCATTTACAGTATTATGCTTTTTATAAGCCTTGCTTTTGAAACTTTTTGTATGGCTTTAGACTAAGGAATTACTAGAGAACCATAAAAGAAGAGTGGCAGACACTTTCATCTTAGACTTGGCAAGGAAGTGGGAGATATTCTATATTTTTTTATTGTATTATTAGATGACCTAACAATAATCCGGTTGACTTGGTTTAACAAACAGCAGGATGTAGGAATTTGGTTGTTTTAATCCTGTTTCCTTGTTCTATTTCAATTCTTTCAGCTGGGATGAAGCACCACTTTTTGTGAAGGGACTGCCTCACATCCAAGTATTCATGGCAGGTCAGAAACCCCAAAAGAAAGCACTGCAGGCCTGCAAAACCTGATTCAGGCCATGAAACATTTCTTTAACAGCACTGCTCAGTTAGGGAGCCAACCTAAAAGTGGCAGAATGGTCAAGTGACATCCTCAAAGTGCTCAAAGTGCAACATGTCCACACACAGTACATTTAAATTTCAGTGTCACAGCAGATAAGCTGTGAAAGCCATGGGGGATCTTGATCTCTGGGACAGGAGCAGAATTTACACCAGAAACTGTGTTTAGTGCAACAGGAATATCAGAGGAGTTGTGGAAGAAGATGTAGCTAAATTTAATAGGTTACAACATGGCTTTGTCTTTAGGTGTCACATTTTGCTATGGCACAGAGGCATCCCAAGCACTGAGCTCATTGTTAAACATAAATGTGTAATACTGGAATAGAAAGACACATGAAAGTTTCACTGCACCACCTCTTATCCAATGCTTTGAAAAGCACACAAAATTTACTTGAAGAAAGAGCTTGTTGCCTCCTCAAGTTATATTTTAAAACAATATTTTCTTTCATCCAAGGCAGAAAATGAAAACAATAAAAAGAAAGGAACACTTTCTTTGTTCTCAAGGCACTGCTACCTCTTGGAAAGCTTGTCCTTCAGGTACTATTGCAATATTTTAGCTCTGACAGCTGCTCTGTTGAGACATGAGTGCTGATAAAACACAGCTTTGTCACTCCAGCTCCAGTACAATGCAATGCAGTCACATGGCACCCAGGAAAGAATTGAGGACAATATGTGATGCATTGTTCTTGCATAACTTGTTTACCAAAAATCCCATTCCAAGTGTGCTGAGAACAAGCTGAAGCATCTAGATATGTTGATGGAGTTCATCTAAAGAATGGCTGGATGAGCAAGAACACTGCACAATGTACTTTAAGACAAGTATATTCTTTATACTTGCAAGTCATGCAGGCACTGCTGATGCTTAGTAAACAGCAAACAAGCAAACAAATAAAAAGCTGCTTTTTCTATTTCCAATTTTTTTTTGTTGTATAGATTTTGTTTGTATAGAACTTACCCTTCCTTCAGGCCTGCCTCTCCCTCTCTACTTGCATGTGGGATTTCAAGTAAATACTCAGCATGTGCTATCAATAAATGTAGTCTATTAAGCAACACTCAGATGACCAAAAAGCTTTTGGTTGGTTGGGTTTTTGTGGTTTTGTTTTGTTTTTTTCTTTTAGTTAATGAAGGCTCTTCTACTTTCCCAAACAAATATTAGAATCAACCAAGAAATATTGCAATGGAAAAGCATCTTAAGGGATCTGTAGCATTTAAAGGCAGCAGAGACTAAAAGCTGTTTAACCCAGTGACTCTAACACAGGAAAAGGGGAAAATGGAGGGGTCAGCAGCCTGGGCTCAGGAACTCCATCCCCTTCCAGATGGTACCAAACCAACAGACACTGAAATAACAGCTCCTCACAGCCCTGCCACTGGCTCCTCTCTGAAATTACACACTGTAAAATCACAGGATAATCTCTTCTTGCTGGAAACAATCTGAGTGGAGCAGGTCTGGGCAGCTCAGTGACCTTGGGCACTGCTGGAGCTGCACAGGAGGAGCTCACTCAGTGTCAGGGGTCCCACAAAGAGACAAAGATTTTACTCGAGATTTTTACTGCCAATTCTCACCACATTACAAAGAAAAAACAAACCCTGCATCTATCTATCTAGCTCCTTTACACTGAAAGACGTACAATATTTACCAACAAGCAACAAATGAACTAAAGAAGTTCCTCTTAAATTAAGTAATTCATCTGTCAATAGCACAGACTAAATTCTGCTTATGTTTTAAAGAAACAGAAAATTTTGCAAATCATTGCACTTACCCTTAGCTGTTCTCTTTCACAACTCATCTGTTGTTTTGAACTCTATAAGGGAAGAAAAAAAAAAGCCAAAATAACTTTGAAAGCGTAACATTCTTGCCACAACAAAGCTGCTAATCTATCTGTCTCACACATATAAATATTGGAAATGCAGCCATTTATCTAAAGAAAACATTGTCCTGTGCATCCACATAGAACCATTATTACAAAAATTATATTTTTTAAACTTATATTTTAAATTAAATTATCAGAAGAACTCATAACAAAATGGAAGTTGAAAAGAATCGTGTTTAGATTTTAAACACCTGATTGGCAGTCCAGTTCAGGAAGAAGCTTTCCTCCAGTTTGTATCCTATCACAAGTCTGTTGTATTTGTGAATATCCCACTGCTTCTATATCTATGTGATAAATTCACAGCACAGCTCAGGAATAAAGATACAGCAGCTTCAAATAAGTGATAAAACACTTTCCCATGAAAACATCCAGCTCTAATCCAGTGTAAAAGTCACTCTGAAGATTTTTTGATTCCACAGCATATGTTTTTTTCCCTATTGCTGTTGGTGCTCTGCCAGATTTACAAGGAACTCTGCTCAGGGTGTGAGAGCTGCTGGCTGGGCTGGAACTCAATTCTTATAACACCAGACATGGGACAGTGACAGCACAGCTTGGGACACCCCAACTCTGCCAGAAGAAAAAGGAACAAAAAAACACCCTGAAATAACCATCCCCAGCCTGTTTCCCACCTCCCAGGTGTGTAACTCAGCCATGCACCAGCACCTCTGGAACCAAACTTCCAAAGCTTTGCCCAGGAAGGCACTCAGGTGTTCATCTGTCCATGTGGACAGAGGGGTTTTGTGTCTGGTTGGGTTTGGCTTTGGTTTCCTTAAAAATTAGTTTTAGAATAGTTTTAGACTCATTAGGGAGCATTAGCCTTGAAATTGTCATCACTGACATTTTCATTAAGTAGCCTTGAAAGTGTCATCACTGTCAGTTCTGTCATTAGTGTAGATGGCAAACAATCCATAAAACACGAAATTGGATGCAATGTTTCTGAGGATATCTTCAAAGGTTTGGAATACACTTATCACTACTTTGTACATAGTTAAAACACCAACAAATACCCATTTGTATAAGATATTTTTACTCTCTAGTGATAATGAAAATGGCAACTTCTCAGTCAAAGGGTACTACAAACAAAATAAAACTGCCTGCTTTTCAGCACAGAAGGAGTCCTAAAAAGTACATTACAGGCTTAACCTTCTACTTGTACAGCAGAATTTTACAAGAGTCCCTGTATGAAAACACAAACCTAACAGAAACAAATGCTCTTTGAAGTTCCCAGCAGGGAGTAACAAGTACAGGAATTCAGCATAAGTCTAATTACAATTCCCCTAAGGAGTCAAATCAAGTACAGCTGAAGTGACTACCACTTGCAGACTAACAATTCCACTTTTCAAAGTTCATGACTTTACACCATTTATGAGTCACTTTAAGGTTATATTAGTCCACATTGTAAGTGTGTTTGCATAAGTCTCAAGAGTTACTTTCAAATCTGAATTCCACATGAACCTCTTTACTTTGATTAAAAATAAATAGAATGAAATATTTCAGTTGGAAGGGACCTGCAGTGATCATCTGGTCAAAGTTAGAAATGAGTTTGGGTTGTTTTGTTCAGGGTCTTTTTTCATTATTTAGGTTTTCTCCGTTAAGAGATTTTAACCTCTGATGGTGGGACGGAGGGAGGAGATTTGGAATTCAAGGAAGGTGAAATTTCTAAGATAACAAGAAAAAAGTGCATCAAAAAGTTGTAGATTAGAGCAAGGTTTATAGTTATTGACTATTTAGGCAGATAGTTAATTTTATGTTTTACTTAGCAGCTATTTACTACTGTAATTTGAAATATAAAATACCTAATGTCTCAGACACCAGAAAATTTTTATTTAAGATGGGAAAGAAGTGTTTATGAACAGTGGGAGAAGAGAACAGGGAGGCAAAGAGTAAATTAATAAGATGACCACAAGTTAACATCCAACTGTTCCTCAGCATCTGGCAGCACAACCAACAGAAGAAAACCATCAATTTAAAACAAACAACTTTCATATGAATGTGAGAACACTATATCAAATTATTATTTGATTCAACCACCTGCATGATGCTCACTTTACTCTAAAAGGTAAAACACAACAGAGGGATGGGACACATCAAATCCTTTGGTTCAAAGTTCAGCAAATGGTTGATCCCAAACTGCGTTTTAGCTACAACACAAAAATCCATTACAGAGCTGGCTTCTCTCAGAGTGAACATCCACCCAGACAGCTCCCTCATCACCCTTCATCCTAGCAACTTTCCAGAAAAAAAGCATCGAGACTTAGTGATGTGGCATTATGAGGGTGAGATTAAAGGGGAAAAAACAAACAAACAAACCAAATTTACCTTAATGAAACCAACAAAAAAATTCATAGTTTAAACACAGATGCCATCTGCCTGTCTGGCCCTCTATTTGTCAGATCAAGTTTATTAAAATACATCTGGGAAAGGCTCATTTGAACACGAGCAGCTCCCTGAGCCTTTCACCAGTGCCAAATTTGCTCTCTCATTTTGTCTTTTTTGTTATCTGTGCCAGTTTAAGAGAAACATCCTGGCAGTACTGAGCACTTAAGGGAAAACATAAATAATGCATTTACAATATGTAAACCTGTACAGATAAATGAGAAAAACTGAAAGCCATAACATATTTAATTAATGATCAAGAGAGCCTAGAAGCAAACCTTGTGCACATCCTGCAATTCTAAATACATTGCTTCTCAATCCTAAATTCACTTTGTTAGGGCTTTGGATTCAACCATATGCAATTAACTATTTCTTTATTTTAGCATAAGAGTGGTCAGTATATTGAGTGTCATTGTGTCAAGCTCTCACATATTATGAGTTTAGTGGAAGAATGCCTAAAAGATTCATTCACTTTAAAAGATTTTATCAAAGAAAAATTTTGAAAAACTACAGGCTCCTTTATAGGACTAAAATTTATAGCAGTTTTAAAGACACTTGTGCTGTCAGGCTCCATCATTTTAAACGAAAAAAGACCCTTTGGAAATACTGGGCAACCTGCTGGTGTCAATCCCCAGTGAGTTCAGGACTAGAATGGGGAAATCTGTTTTGGTTTCTTTAAGTAACAGAAACAGGTGGGAGACTGAATATCTGTTAAATATATTTATCATTTATCCACTCTTCATACAGACACACAGGCCATGAGGAAAATGGAACCCATGAACGGACAGATTGAGAGAACAACAGCATTGCTGCAGGTGTTCAGGAATACCAACAGTCCAGGGAAGGGTTTTTTGCTGTCAAATTTGTAAAGTGCCATTTTAAAGAGAGGTTTAGGTGATTGGGGAAAGGGAACATTAGGAGGGTAATAAGGCTATTTACAGAAAGTATCCACGTAAATGTTAAAGAACATTTCTGTAGCAGTTCAACATTCCCAAGTACTGGTTTTACATTTTCTAATTCAAAATGTTTTCAGGATTGAGGTTATTTGAAACAGAGCACAGTCCACTGGCTGAAAAATAATAGGAGAACATCTAATGTCTTTTATCTTCTAGATATTTTACCATAACTAAACATGTGTGGTAAATGAAAGGCCCCCTGATATTGCTGCCATTCTTTCTACATCTCAAAAAGGACAGTCCGGGTAAGATTACTACAATTTCAATAATATATTTGTTTTTATTATTACAGTCAGTACCTACACAGGAACCGGGGAGCTTGAGATTCAGGTGAGCAGGAGCAGAGTCACAGAGCCTTTATCAGGACCCACCTCCCAGCTGGTGACTGCTCACCCTCTGATTGAGAAATCATCTCTCCTCACTCATACACAGATTAACCAGCTGAAATCAAACCACAGATTGTCCTCTCACAGTTGTGTTTCACCAGGCACTGTGAGACAGTCCACACCATTTCAAGCTAAATCCATCTGCCAGTGCTTTCTCTCATTAGACACTCATCTGACTGGAAAAGACAAAAAATTAAATGCTTCGGTTTTGTTCCTTGCCATGTTACACAAAAAGGCTGTGCTACACAAAGACACACACCATACACTGCTGTATTCCATTTGGAAACTGCATCTTTTTATTACTTATTAGTGTTCATTATCTCATTGCCCCACAGAATTCAAGAGAAATAATACTCCAAGTTATTTAATATGTGGGAAAAGCACGGGCGTGTATATAAATGTATAAATAATATTGTGTATTAATCTAAAACTGCCTCTCAGTACTACATGTGAAACCCCAAAACACAAGTGAAGAAACAACATCCATCCCAAGAGCTCACAAAGGCACAAAGTAGAGCCCAAGGTGCTCGACCACAGAAGACTCATTAAAAATACCTGTAATTGCATAAATATACAGGATGAAATGACCTGGAAATGGGGATTTCAGAGCCTTTGGTAGTCACTTACAGCAACATCTAGAAGCTCTCAAACATAACATCAGTATTTCTTCCTCAAGGAGTAACTGGGATTATCCTTTTCCACTGCCAGGTGCCTTAATTTTCATGGACACGTCTCCTGAAAGCCCCAAATGTTGAGGAGAGCCTAACGAGGTGACAACGTGCTGACAACCCACAGACTTTGTGTTCCATTGTGTTTCTAACACAAAGGGGTACAGAATGCACATGTCTGTGCATATGCAAATCCTCACCAGAACAGAGAGCTTCGGGTTTCTCTTGGCTAGGTATGCGCGTTTGCATGCACAGAATTTTAATTTCCTGGGGTTTTATTACCACCATCAGTTACTGTGCTCCAGCAGAGGCTGGAGGGACTGATTTATTCTCCAGTGCCCTTGGCTGGGTATTGTATATCGACTGGTGCTGCTGTCATAAATATATTTGGGTGAAGAACTGTCTCCCGTTCCGTGGGTAATACTAAGCAGAGTTAAGGTTTCAAGTGTCACATACAAGTGGGTTTATTTCTGCTGGAAGAAACAGGCAATTATTATGGCCCATTGAGCTCAGATTAAGCATTTCCATCAAAAAAAAAAAAAAAG